TAAATAGAAGTAACGACAGCGTAAATAGAAGTAACGACAGCGTAAATAGAAGTAACGACAGCGTAAATAGAAGTAACGACAGCGTAAATAGAAGTAACGACAGCGTAAATAGAAGTAACAGTTGAATATTTCTTACTGTGTAACCAAGAGAAATGAAGCAGAAGAAAACATGCTTAGCTGCCAAGCATCACTAGGTGATCTAACATTTTGGTGGAGAACTAAAAAAGCCAACACGTCAAGAGATCTGATGAGAATCAGTGCAAAGCAAAGATAGAAATACTCACCAACAACAGCACACTTGTAGGTCATCAGAGAGGCCAAGGCTTTCACTTCATCTACAGACACTTCTGTGCTGTAACGGATACCTGAGGGAAACACATCAACAGGAAGTCAATAACTAAACAGTTGCCACGAAAAAACAAAAACAAATTAATAAATCTAAAACAAACTTTAAAGAAAGAATCTGTAGATTGTGGTCATCTGAATGGGTGTTCTGAACTGTTCATTGTGCTCTGTACAATGACAATAAAGGTTTATTCAATCTATTACTAGGGTTGGGCATAATCGTATCGTGTGCAATTAATCATCAGAAAAACATTAATTGACTACTTTTTGGCACTTGATGATTAATACGATTAATGCCACCAGGCAGACTGACTAGGGATTACTCCGGTCAGTCCGCTCAGTGCTCCTCTCTGCTTCAAATATGACGAACATTAAAAATAAAGTTCTGTATTTTATTTGTCTATCAACACAACTGTGTGTATAGCCTGAAATCTGTAATTTTCACAAAATTTGGAACAATTTTTTACAAAGAGCAAATCTTTCCCACCAATTGGTCATGTGACTATGAAATAAGGGTGTCCAGGGACTCCAGGGGATTAATCGTCAAATTAATCGTTATTGGCTAAATACCAAAATTAAATGTGATTCATTTTTTTGCCAATATTGCCCAACCCTATCTATTACTATTTCATTTGTTGTAAAGCCACACTAATTATTTTGTGAAAGTTTAATTGAAATCTGCCCAGTTGTTCATGAGTTGTTTTCGAACCGGGTTGACTCCAAATAGTCCTTATCAAAATTTCACAAGTTATTGCACTCAAAGTGTTGGGAACAAGTCCCATATGACAAATTTATACCTAACAGAGGAAAAGCACATTTTGTGCCATTTTAGATCAGCTTACTATGACAACCATTTGATTTGGTTGATTACTTGATTTCAAAAAGGGCAATCCGTTGGAGATGTGCAGCTTTCTGCACGTCTCATTAACATCTGCCCAGYGGTTCTTGAGATATTTGGGTAGGACACGAACACAGGCAGCAGATGATAATCATGTTGTTCTGAAACTGCCTCCAGTACAAACTGTGCGCCTGACTCGTAACTTATGTGCTGAGCGGGTGGGGACTGCGTGAACCAATCACAGCACTCTGTTCTGACACTAACCTCTCACGCTGCAGGCTTACCTTCCTGTCGTTTACCACTGTTGCTACAGTAACATATGCACCACTGTGAGAGCATTAAACCAGACTGCATGTGTCAAACTGCTCCATCTTTTTGGCAGAATGCCTGTGTGCGTGTAATTTAACAGCAATTACAAAAATAGCACACTTAGAGATAGAGTTTACTGTGAAATTCAAAGGCAACCAGCACAGAGAGAGAGAGAGAGCAAAAGATCCAGGAAATGGCATATTGGAGTTATTTACAACAATTTTATGGAATTGCAGCCTGAGCCAGTTTCCCCTCGTCCATCATTACCGCAATATTAAATAACCTCAGACATATGGAGGGGGGAAAAATAACCAAACATCGAAAACAAAAGCACCAGCTTTCAGATCAGAGGCTCTCCCTCTTCTCTATTCATCCACAGATCAGCTGAGCAAACTCAGAACAGAGAACAATTTAGAGCTCACTGATCAAATTAAATGAGGGGATGGTGAGGCCTGGCTGCCTCACCATCCCCCTCCTCCACACCCCCCAATCAAACTCCCATTTACTCACCCAACCACGGCAACAGAATCCAAAACAGATCTGTAAACACATTCTTCTGAATTAGAGGGGGAAAGCGCTGGAGGAAAACAGCTTCTCACGACAGAAATTAGTATTCTGCGGTCAGAGCAAGTTTCTTTCTACAGCAAGTTCTGAATGCTCGACACGTTAAGACCGTTTAAACCGTTGTTCAAGGCAAGTAAATCCAGAGTACCTTAAAAAAATACATTTTAAAATTTGAATAAGCATTAATTTTTCAAGTGTGTATAATAGCTTTTAGGCCTTTTTATCGTTTGGCATTTTATTTTTAGTACGAGCAGCTGTTTTGATGGTAGTTGCCGTTTTTTGTTCTCTTGAACTATAAAATTGTGTTGAAATTGTTAAAAAAAAAGATTTACACCAAGTGGTGGCTAAGTTTSTCAGATAAGGGTGCTAAATGTCTCCATCAAAGCTAGTAAATGTTACATGATGATGCCACAATTAATCGTGATAAATTTGTATGGCAACCCATAGATGACATGAATATTGTTATACAGACAAATCGATTCAAGTTTTAATTCTTTTCAGAGCAGTTTTTTTTTTTTGTAAATGGTACAGATTTCAAAGCAGACATGGTGTCAAACATACTTTTCAAATGCCTATTCTGGTTTAAACGTATTTAGATTTTTAATTTTTGATAATCTACAGAACTGGTGCTTTTTGTGACATTGACAAAATAATTTAGTCTATTCCACTTTTCTACAGAAAGCAGAAGAAACTTGACCACTTCATCGGCTCAAACAAAAGCTGAATCATGMACACAAAACCACCTTTCACAGCTTTTACATGTCCAGCAGAAAGCAGCTCTGTCCAGCTTGACAGCTGTCAGTCTATTTAGGCGTTAAGAGGGGTGGATGAGTTGAGTGCGTACACACACACACACACACACACACACACACACACACACACACACACACACACACACACACACACACACACACACACACACACAAGTACAAAAACACCCTCTGCACTTTGCAGTTTGATCTGAACCAAGGGTCTACAATCAATGATTAAACCACCCGAAAGATAACAACTTACACACTAGCCTTATTATCACCTATATGGCATTAAATTCCTACTATTTCATGACTTTATTATTTGGTAGAGACCATAAATCTTTGGTTCTTTTAAAACTGTAAAAAGAAAAAAAAAACTGCCCAATTTTTGTTTCCCATCCGGGCCGATTTGAGACCCAACGCACCTTTTGTTACTTGAAGGATCAGTTCTAGTGATTGCCGTTTTGTTTAGGGAGGGTTTTGCTGGTGAATTTAAGGCCTAATAATTTGTAAACGTTATCTGCTAGTTTACCTTGGATATAGATCAAGCAAGAGGAAAGTACATAATGTGTTTAGACTAAAGAGATCTGCCACTCATTGCAGGTTTTTAAATACTGGACAGAGACAATAGACTCATTTTAGTTTGCTTATCTTTAATATGATTCCCTTAAACTTAAAATCAGTGTTCTACATTTACATAAGTAGAAGCTCCTCTGGCATTAATTGCAATTTATATTTTATATGCATGTCAACTTATTGATCGGTTTAAGACTTACTCTATAAACCAAACTGCTAGTGTACGATGTGCTTTCCTTTAAATAGTAGATCTACAATAACTGAGTGGAACAGGAGTTTCACGKTTATGCCAGTCTGCTGTTTGCTCAGCAACTGAAACATTTCCACTGAATGGCCAACTAAAAAGGTGTGTCTCTTCCTCTGAGAACTGGCTGTTCTCCATGACACCCGCCCCTTCTGCTGTGCTGCTGGCAAATAGGAGTGCCTATAAAAGCATACACCCCCCTCCCCACTCAAGCCTCCCCTCATTCTAGACATCACTTCCTATTTTTCCACAATTTACTCAGCCCTAGCTGCTTTAAACCCTACATTTTAAACCGTAAAAAAAAAAAAAAAAAAAAAAAAAAAACGGCTGCACCAATCAACATGAAATTTGGCAGGACTGTAGATGAGTGAAATGCTTTCAACTCTTGCTTGCAATTAGGGTTGGGCAAAATCGCATCGTGTGCAATTTAATCATCAGAAAAAGTTTAATCAATTATTTTTTGGCACTTGACGGTTAATAATAATAATAATAATTAATAATTAATGCCACCAGGCAGACTGACTGGAGATTTCCTCGGTCAGTCCACTCAATGCTCCTCTCTGCTTCAAATAAGAAAAACATTTTATATTAAAGTTCTGTAATGTATTAATCATAACTCAGGTTTTACTTGGTCTGTCGACATAATWTAAAAATTGATGTTTAGCTTGAAGTCTGCATTTTGGCAAAATTTGGGACAAGATTTTTATGGAGAGCAAATCTTTCCCACTAAAGAGATTTAAATTAGTCATGTGACTAGGATATGAGGCATCCAGGGACTCCAGGGGAATAATCGTCACATTAATCGTTATCGGCTAAATTTACCACAATTAATCGCGATTATTTATTTTTTGYCAGTATTGCCCAACCCTACTTGCAATGTTTGAATAAACAGAACTTTAAGGTCATTCACATGTTGTAAGCAGCACATGTGGAGATGCAAATGTATAAACAACATGACACCTGATMCCTTCAGGTCTGAAACACACCTGGGTCAACTTAAAACAATGTTAGACTGAAGCTGCCAAGACATTAAACTGATACAATCATCAAGGTTTAAGTTAAACAATTTAAAAAAAGCTAATCTATATTCTGATTATGATAAGTTTCAATTAACTGCTAGAGCTTGCAATAAAACACTATAAATGAGAGTTTGCTGGAGTTTGAAAAGTTAGTTGCGAGCTATGCAAACAGCTACCGGTAAACAGGAAGGTCACGGTAAATATTGACACACACAACAAATAACASATAAACTATCCAGATAATAATATATAAATAAATAATTTACTGTTAGGTTAGCAATGAAGCAAAAAAAAGAGGTGTAGTTGTGTAAAAGTKAAGTATTTGAGCGTGCACTGACAGCAGCTAACTACGCTGCTAGCTAATGCTAACATAGCAGGCTAATGCTAGCTGTCAAATAGGGCCAAAAGAGCAGGACTGGGTCAGTTCTTACCCCCTTTACATGGTGTTCTGTGTTGGCTGTGCTGGGCCCGGTACCCCTCTATCACCTCCCACTCTCCGTTATCCCTCTTGATCGGGAAAGACACGCTCAGGACGTGATTACAGGGCTTGATGATGCGCAGGATCCCCCGCACACGGTGCCGCTTCTGTTCGGGGGTCTCCCTGGTCTTCAGGTCCTCCACGAGCTTGTCCTCCACGATGGCGGCACCGCGGTCGAAGAAACCCTCGACCATCCTGAAGAAGTTGGGGTCGTCGGGTTGGTCCGCCGCGTCGGCATAGCGACGGACCCGCATCAGGGAGGAGGACGCCGGGAGAGCGGAGTCCACGCAGCCCGAGGCCAAGACACTACCCGCTGAGCGGCTCAGCAGCTCCCCGAAATACCGATACATGACTTAAAACAAACTAACCGTGTAAACAAACTAATTAAAACAAACTAAAAGGACAAACACAGTGGGGGGTGACAACAGGAGAGGGAGGTAGAATGAGACACAGCAGGTCCTCACCGTGTCTCGTCCTCTGGCCGAGTGGGAAATAGCATGCTGCGATAGTTTGCTTTAAAAGGAAGCCGAGCGGCGGGGGCACGGGGCACGGCGGGGTGGACGCACGCGGAAGAGGACGGGCGCGCACMGAGTGACAGTGCGCGCTCCCGATGTCACAAATTCAAACAGCAAATTTTAAACACGCAAAATGCCACAARACTATGACAGAAATCCTAGTTGATCAAACAGACAGGAATGATAAATGTCATTAATATAATAATAAACATCATAAACATATTTTTAAGTGCAGAAGCTTATAGCTAAATAATGCACACCAGCCTCCTTATTCATCAGATTTTTTGTGGTTTATTCAAGGTGCCTGTGAGGCCTGCAGTCATCAGCATCTGAGCGAAGCTCAACACTATAAAACAAGCCGGATATGCTGAAAGAAAAATTCCCATTAAACTGACATAAGTCATTAACTTTCTTCATAAGAGGCCATATTTAAGCTGACCTAGAGAAAAAAAACTATTTAATTCTGATTCAATTAAACTAACATCTGGTTTAATTGCGGTTAGTTACAAACACATGACACATTTTACTTATTTTATTCTATTCAGCTTTTTGTCTTTTTCTTATGCTCACTTTATCATAAAAATAGACATAAATTACTTGGTTAAAGTATACTGCTTGGTTAATTTTTGAGGATTTTTTGCAACATGGGTGGGTTAATCGTTAACTTTAAAATCGTCTCTAGGTGTAGGTGAATGTGTGAATGGTGTCTCTGTGTTCCTGTGATTCCTGTGCAATCTGTCCAGGATTGCACAGACATTGTGTAGTTTGCATGTCTTCTAGTAACCAGGTAAACAAGTACGTTTACGAGTATTTAGATACAGGAGGGTCCATGTCTTGTCCTGATATGAGAAAACTATCAGGTACTTCAGGATCAAAGTGTTTCCTGACTCAGCAGAGGGCCAAGGTGTAATGAACACTGATAAGCAGCCTATTTTCTGTATGATGCATACAGCCAGCAGATGTGTGTTATTTATCTATTTCAATAAAACATGCGTGATCTCAAAATGCTCTTCAGACCGACTCGGACCACCGAACCGTGCGATCTGCTGCCATTGTCAAAGCAAAGCAAAGATAGTGAGGCAACGTTGCTCAATGCGGGATTACAAATTCAAAGTCAGAGACAGGTCCGTGTGTGTGTGTGTAGAAGTGACAAAGCTCGGAGCTTGTCTCTGCAAGGCCCTGACCGGGTCCTGCACCTGTGGACTCTGCACATTAGATAAGATTAGATTCATTTCCTGGGATGTAGGTACAAATATCAATTTATATAGTTAAACACAAGAACAAACATATTTACACAGGACAGCAGCAGGAGGCCCAATGCCTCGGCAGCAACATGAACTGACGCAGATTTCAAGTATTCTCCTGTAAAACAAAGTAATCACGAGTGTTTGGGTTACTCGTCGCGGCTGGCACCCAGTCAAAGCTTTTGATTCAATTAACGCCAGAGTTTATCTTCTAATTATTCGTTTGTGAACTAAGGAACCATAAAACATTATCAGCTCCCAAAGCTGATTTCCAGACTGCGAGCTGAGATGAAACGACCAATTATTAAAACTGAAACAGAGCGGGAATACTGTTTGGACCTTCATTTGTCTGTTTATTCGCTGCTCTAGATAAGCAAACAGCAGTAAAGATAAGGTCAGGCACAGCTGCAGGACAAAACAGCAAACTTTATTTTTTTTGCACCAATTCATGTGAGATGTTCCTGTTTTATAAACTTTGCATCGATGAAAGTTACGATCTTTATTTTAGAGCTTTAGCCTCTCTATACCCAGTCCAGATCAGATTTATCACTATAAGATAAGATCCCCTGTGATGTTATTTTAAATAATTTTGTTCTAACTTTAATAAAACCTGATTTGGAACATAGAAAAGTGACTTTCATCTCATATTTCTTACATTCAAGTTGGAAATGACATAAAAAACTGTTTAAAACTCCATAAAAAGCTTTTTGAAAGAACACATTAAGCAGCCACTTTCCTTTTTTGTATGCCTGCTTTGAGCTTATCAGCTCCTCATCCTTCTTCCTCAGTGTGTTTTTTCTCTTTACACCAGCATACTTTGATTTAAAAGCGTTTGCGTCAGCGTCTGAACTCTGCCGTGCCATTGGCTGTTCGCCTGACAACTCCCAGCCAAACCAGCGGGGTGTGACCGTGGGAGGAGATCAGGGAAAGAAGAGGTTATGTGGCCTGATCAAACAGGAACCTGTTCAGCTGAATCACATGGAGATTAAGTGGAACAGAAAGTTTTTTTTTTCCTGTTTGCTGAATGGTCGCGTTTGAATCTGCTAATGTCTGCTTTTTGAATTTCAGATCCTCAAGCTATCAGCAGCACCACTTCTTCCTCCTAACTTACAGTCTGTTCCACAAACTTTAGTGTTACCAAAGTAATCACACAAAACAAGACGACCCATTTGTTTTACAAGCTTTTTTCTTGTAAATTCAAATATTACGTTCTGTTTTATTATTTTTTTTACCTTTTAAATTTGCTTTATCATGCTCCACTTTGTCATCTTTTTAAACTTTTAGCATTTAGATAGCTTCTTAGCTACCATTCTGTTACCTTTTAGCTATCTTTCTGCTAGTTTTAGCTAGCCTTTTTTGCTTCTATAGTGTTTTTTTCAGGGGAGACTGGGGACAGTTGGAACACTTTTTGCATTTGACTCTATTAGAGATGTTTGGATTAAACAAACCAAATTTTTATACAATAAACTTACTTCTGTCTGTTAATGGAGCCATTTAAAGATGATTAAAGCATGTACATTCTTCACAATTTGCAATTTGAAAGTGAAAAGTCAGATGCTGCAACTGACCCCGGGGCTGGGGACAGTTGCAGCATTGTTTGGGGGTGGTTGCAGCATATTATTAATACAATRTATTTCACTGTAAATAAACTTTATTATTTTTATATTTATATTATTGCTAAATTTATATATAAAAATGTTATAATGATATTACAGTGTTATTTATTTATTCTTTTTGATCAAATGACAAATATAAATTTGCCTTGATGAGTAGACCTTATATACAGTTGTCAAAGACTAAAATGATATAAAATACAGTTGGCTTTCAGTGGCAGGAAGAACAGAACAAAATGTGAGGCAGTTAACTTTTGTTTTGCCTATTGTCACTGTACGCCTCCATTATGCTAAATTTACATTGAACAAAACTGGGATTTTTAAAACCATTGTTGAAAACAACAACTGCAGAAAATGCATCTTAAACGCTTAAGTTTTAAATGATAAAATTGTCATGATTACCCAATACCTTTTTAAGTATAAACTTAGTTTCAACATCTTAATATCCTCTTGATGTGGTCTGCTTTTATAGGAATTTATTGTTGATTATTTATTATTACCCTTCCTGTCAGTCATGATAAAACCTCATGTGTTAGCTAAATAAGTTAACCTTTATACATTTGAGCTGGATCACTAAAATAGTGACAACAGTATAACTTCTAGTTTTTAGCTGACCGTTGAAAACTTTTAGATCTTAGCTCATGTTTTCCTACTTTTAGCAAGCAGTTTGCTACTTTTACCTTTTAATGGCATTTTTGCTTTAGCTTTTAGCTACTGCTCTGCTTCTTTTAGTTTTAACAAATCATTTATCAGCTTCATCAGATTTAGGCAAAATCATTTAGCAGCTCTCAGCGTTCAGACTTTAAGTCATGGAAAATGTTAATTGAGTCTTTAATAAATAAAGGGGAACATTGTCAATGTTTGGTGTCTTTGGCTGTTCAGCAATGTTGCATAATTTAAGTGAAAACCGAACGCAAARGTCTTCAAATGTACAGATTTCCAACTTGATGCACTGACATTTTCAACAGATGCAGCATTCATCTCAGAAAGAGTTTCAGAAAATGAGGAGCTGTTTAATTTATTGTGTTCAAACATTTTTAGCAGAGCTGTTGCTTCTCCGCAAGAAGGTAGCTTCATTGAATTCTGACTTTTCTGGGTAGATTTTGCATGTTTTCTCCGTGCATGTGTGGGTTTTCTCTGAGTACTCTGGTTTCCTCCCACAGATCAAAAATGTGATGTTAACTTTAATCATTCCCAGTGTGAGTGAGAGAGTGAATGGTTGTTTGTCTCTTTATGTCCCTGTGATGGACTTGCGACCTGTCCAGGGTGTACCCCGCCCCTCGCACTGTGACTGCTGGAAATGGGCACCAGTGACCCACGCGACCCTGAAAAAGGAAGAAGCGTGTACAGAAAATGGATGGATGGATGGATGGACTTGTGACCTAAACTCCTCACAGCTCAACCTCACAGAGGAACTCAGTAACAACAAATAACCACTAGATGGCGCAACAACATCAGTAAAATGAAGATTGAGACAAATGATAGTAAAGCCTTCAGCAATAACACTGCAGTAAAGAGAGAACACTACATACAAAAGTTACATACAAGACTCAGAAAACACTTATATTTTTGCTTGTTCGGTCCCTCCAAAGTTGTCATCACAAGTTGGCAGTTCCAAAACATTTTCAGATAAAGTTTTTCCTTTATTTAGACTCTTATCTTTGATGTATCACTCAGAAATAAAAGAGGCTTTATTTACTTTTAAAATTCTAGCTCTTTGTTTCTTGYTACCCGTCATAAAGCCTCAAATTGTTCTAATTTCTTTAGCCTAATCTGTTAAAWAGTGTATCTCCAAGATGCACCCACCCATTATAAATTAAACAAATATAAAATAAACACATCCATTATAAAGCAGGAAGAACAAAAGATCATGATCATTTCAAAAGATTACAAGCAAGTATAAAAATTGGATTGCTTTAGAACATTTGTGCACCACTTTAWATAATAACAGAAATTTGATGGTTTTTCAATGTTACTGAGGCTCCTTTTGTTAAATGAATAAATTGTTACACTGCCAATATGTCTTCTTCACACYTCTATCTTCCAATCCAAAAAAATAAGTCARTATCAGAATAAGCTGTKTGGCAGAGAAGATTTGGCAAAMTAAATAAAACACAAATGTGAAGCATTTCAAAYTTAAGTCCATTCCACCACTGAAAGATAAAAGGCATGGAAATCATGCGGAAACATTGAGTGCACGTGTCAAACTCAAGATCCACTGGCCAAAAGTAGCCCTCCATGTCATTTTATGTGGCCCATGAAAGTTTTAAAGATGTRTTAATGTCTTAAAMTAAGYRTATCCTGCTTTAAAGGCAGCAWTGACCATAAACTACATCTCCCAGAATGCATGTCGATCAAAAAGACGGCATCCCACCACGAGATGGAGGTGCACAAGGTTCAAAACTAGCTGASAGCTGATGAAATTTACTGTGTAAAATCTTCATTTCGCAGCATTTTCACTGGATACTTTTGCTGCAGCCAAATTGGACTGGAAAGTGGGAATTTCCCACTTACAAGTCAAAAATTAAAACTTGAATAACCCCTTCAGTGGGAATTCCTTGTTGGAAAGTGAGAAAATTTAGAATTCAAGATGGCAGCTACTCACAGCTCAACAATTAAAACTATTTTACATTTAATTGTATTCCTGTATTATTTATTCCATATTTAGTCAGTCGTACATGTAGTGCTGTTCAGTGTTTATAAGAGAACAAGTTAAAACACTGTTTATATGCACAGAAAACCACAGAGAGCTCAGTTACTGTAAGAAAAGGGACAAAGAATGTGACGTTTTGTGTTTAGTTACAGTTTATTACAACTGGCCCTTTAAGGGCAACCATAAAGCTCATGTGACCCTCAGCGAAAATCTGTTTGTAACCCGATTTAGCAAATATCCTATTTAACTAAAGACACTTTTTACATAAAGAGCCGTTTTACACTAGAAAAGTCTGTTTATTGCTGATCAGCATGTCTGCCCTCATTACACAGCTTCTACAGATGTTCAGCAGTTAGAGAAAATGAAAAGAAATGGTGGTGAGTGAACTGAGCTAACCTATATTTTGTCTGAACTCAAGACAAATTTCATATAGAACGAGTATAATTACTCTCACGATGATCACATTCATATTTGATTCACACCACTTGAGTCAGTTAAACGGAAACGTGAAAGTCTGCGTCGCGCGTGCATTCAGAGGTCGGGAGGTAAAAAGTTGACAGCGTTCCCACGAGAACTTTCCTACCGAGCGTCTCTATTCAGGAAGCTGTGGCTTTGGCTTGCGTCTACTCACATCTCCTCATCAGCAGAGAGCACATTTGTCAATGCGCGCCCTGCATGTACCCCACGTGTCAGGTGGCCTCCATGTAAACGCCATAGGAAGTAAGATCAGACCCGGAGAGGTCAAGTAAAAGTCAACCCAGTCTGTTTTTGTCGACACATTTCATCTGCCACTCCTCCCCCCGTCAACAGTTTGTCAACCACAGTCTGAACTCAAAGCTTTGTTTTCTCTTCTGAAGACAGATGTCGAGCTGCAGCAACAATTATGAAACTGTGCGACAAAACCGAGAAGTGGACGGTTAATCTACCTGAACTGTCGGTACACTAATATTACAACATTTCTGCTTTTAATCCACAACTGTCATGCTTTGTAACTTCAATCTTTATCAGGATCCTTGACAAAAGATTTACTCAAAATGTGCAAGAAGAGCAGAAAACAATCCTTTCAGAATGAAAATATTCAAGTTTAATAAAAAAAAAAATACAAAGGGCATTTACAGAAAGATATAAAGAGAATGTTGGTCTCTTCAGACTCCAGTTTCAGCTCAAATATCTTTGGAACGTTTGGTCCAATGAGAGCAGAACAGACGGCTCCTCCACTCCACTGTGACAAAAACACAATGAGCAAAACAATTAGCTTAAAAGCAGCTTGTGTTTTGTTTATCACATACTATGGTAGTTTTGAATGGCTAAACCCAAACACACACACACACACAC